AATTTTGGGAATGATGAGGGCAACGAATGTATAGATGTGCTTTACACAATTGATCTATGTATTGTGATGAATTTTATGAGCCCCAATAAATTGATGTGAAAAAACAAAAAAACTACCTGAAGTTGGGGGTGCGTCTCCTTTCAGGTATTGAAAGGGACAGAGAGAGGCCTCCCTCATCAGCTAGGTCTCCTCTGTCACCTTGAAGAACATGGTTCAATACCTGCTGAGCAGAGGACCTTCAGGATTTCTTCTTGCGGTTAAACATATATAATTATACAGATCCATGCATAGAGATATATTTAAATAGAAATGTGTTCATAGGAAAATTGAAAAATACAAATTGAAACAAAACAAGAAGACCCTTTGTCAGTATTGAACTACTGACACATTTAGGTATATATTTACCCAGGCTTTTCCTTATGAGAATATCAACATATTCTGTAGGTATAGGTACCCATCCCAGAGACCAGATCACTTGAGTGACAGTTGGTCACTGTGTGAAAGGAGAAGATGACTCATCCGATCACAACATAGAGGATGTCCACTGGCTGTGGGTTATGCAGGAGATAGTGACCCTACAGGACAGAGTAGACTGGCCCCCTAGGGTTTTTAAGGCTGTAGTCTTCATAGAAAGAGACTGCCAAGTCTTTCTCTCATGGAGCAGCTGGTGGGGGCCCAGACCACCTACTGTATGGTTCACAGCAAGGTGCTTTACCTGTGCCGCCAGTGCTCACCCTTAATCTGAGGGGCCGGCAAGGATGGCTGGACATGATGTTGAGAAGTTGTGTTCTGACAGTCTCTGATAGGGGGTATGGTTGGGCTGTTTTGCTGGGAAGTCGTCCCCCCCCCCCTCCAGTTACCATTATGAGGTCTTTTGCTGCCTGGCTGCTTAGACAAGGAGCCCCAGTGGCATAGTGGTTATGCATTGGGCTATTAATGGCAAGGTCAGCAGTGTGAAACCACCAGCTGCTCCATGGAAGAAAGCTGGGGGCCTTTTACTCCCTTAGAGAGGTCCAGTCTTGGAAGCTCACAGGCAGCTCTGCCTTGTCCTTCAGGGTGGTTGTGAGTTGGCGTTGACTCGATGGTAGTGAGATTGGTTTGGGTTGGCGAGACAGCAGAAAATGTTGAACTCTACCCAGTGAGAATACTGTACCCCGATGCTCTCATTCCGTAGGTTGAAGACTGCTGCATCGGATGTCAAACAGATGCTTAAAAGTGAAGTCGACTTGGATCTTACTGCTGACCTCAGAAAGAAACTCCATCGGGCGAAGAAAGAAAAGTTAGAACTCACAGCCAAGCACAATGCAGAGGTAGGTCTCAACTGCCCCACCCCACCCCACACAATACTGTGCAAAGCAGAGTTTGGTCCATTTCCATCCACAGACTCCCCCTTGGACTTTATCACGTAGTATTCTCATGCTTCAAAAAGGACACCATGGTAAAGAAAACATGCTTTCCTTTTTTGTGCGTTTGTGTTCAGTGCACTATGTGTAGCAGTGGTCGTGTTTTATCTCAAACAACACTCTACTGTTAGATCTACTGAGTTCGATAATTCAGTGGCCACATAGATTCACAGCGAATTCTCATGACTATAGGGATTATTAAGGAAATGAATAGATGACAGTGCGGTGAGAAATGCTCAGGATAAACATGTCATGCAGCTCCTTCAGTGCTGCTAATAAATGCCCAAAGGAAATGCCACTCAACTGTGAGCCTCATCCTGAGGGCATTCAGCTCATGCCTCCTGGGTCAGCAAACCCAGCCCCCCTATTTAAATGCTTCCCCAGAGATACCCCACACCACAAGCCATTCTCCTCTCCAGAAGCACTCAGCTTTACCTGCTCTGTGGTTTGGGAAATCCACAAACCTGTCTGGTGCTCTGGTTCCTGGTTTTACTACTGCTGCTGCTCCTCTACCACTACCACTCCTCTGCCGCCACATCTGTCTTCTGGATCAAGGAGGTTCACTGCAGAGGGATCTTGGGGTTCAGAAGACATGCTCTACTGCTGGCTCTTGCTGATTGTGAGGTCCACCACTTCCTCCTTCTTAAGAGGGTTCATTTTACACTCAGCAGGATGGGTATAAAATGAATGAATCCCATTAACAGTTACCCACTGGCAAATCCTATCAATGTCTTCCCCTACCTTCTTACCCAGACCCATGCAGGCAAAGGTTGTTTAGTAGGAGGGACAGAGACACTGGTCAGAAGAGCCACATTAAAGAATTCACCGTCCCTGCAGGCCACCTCTGGGCTTTGTGAGCTGTTACCTCGTCATACTTGAAGGATTAGCTTGCGTGCTTTTAATCATTTTACTGTGAACACACCCATAAAAGTTAATAAGCCAGTCTTTTTATGTTAGCCCTTAGAAATGGAAGGAATTCTTTTTTTTATTGTGAAATATTTACTTCTTTTTTTTTTTTAATCATTTTATTAGGGGCTCATACAACTCTTATCCCAATCCATACACACATCAATTGTGTAAAGCTTTTTTCGCCACATTTGCTTATGCACCCATTTGTCTTCAGTGATCCGTTCGACACCTCGTGATCACACAGGCTGATATGTTGTTCCATGTGGGCTTTGTTGCTTCTGAGCTAGATGGCCGCTTGTTTACCTTCAAGCTTTTAAGACCCCAGACGCTATATCATTTGATAGCCGGGCACCATCAGCTTTCTTCACCACATTTGCTTATTTGCCTGCTTTGTCTTCAGTGGTTGTGTTGGGAAGGTGAGCATCATACAATGCCAATTTAATAAAAGAAAGTATTGTTGCGTTGAGGGAGTACTTGAGTGGAGGCCCAAGGTCCTTCTGCTACCTTAATACTAAACCTATAAATATAGGCTCATAGATCTATTTCCCCATCCTCATATAAATATATTTACATATGTACATGTCTTTATCTAGACCTCTATAAATGCCCTTTTCCTCCCAGCTCTTTCCTCTATTTCCCTTGACTTTCCTCCTGTCCCACTATCATGCTCAGGCCCCACCAGGATTTGAGCACTTCCTGTTTGCTATATTCCCCTTGATCATGCCCTACCAGGTCTCCCACACCCACCTCCCCACCAATTTGGATCACTTGTTGTTCCCTTTTCCCTAGGTTTGTTAACACCACTTCCTTTCCCCTCACCTCCCCCTCTTCCATGTCCCCCCGGAATTGTCGGTCCCATTGTTTTCTCCTCCAGATTGTTCATCCAGTCTATCTTATTTAGATAGACCTGCGGAGATAATAACATGCACAAAAACAAGACAGCAAAACCAAGCAACAATGTACAACAAAACAGCAGCACCAACAAACCACTAACAAAGAACAAATTAAAACACAACAAGAAAGAAAAGCTGGTAGTTCAAGGATCGCTGGCCGCCATTTCATCCATTTTTAACTGTAAAATCAACAAACATTAATTATATGTATTGTGCTATGTATATAATTACTGATTTTTGGGGAAAAAAAATATATATATATTATCCCAAATAAGAATTTAGTACCTCTGAAGCAGTGAGCTCATAAGTCCTCTCCTGACCCAGCCCTGGGGACCACTAATCAACTTTGGTCCTCATATGTATTTTCCCATTCTAGCTTTTCTATGTGAGTGAGACCAGGTGATAGTTATTCTTTTATTTCTGACCTGTTTCACTCGGCATACAGTCTTAAAGGCTCATCCACATCGTAGCATGCATCAGACCTTTACTTCTCTCTATTGCTCAATATCCCATGGCTTGTTTGTGTCACATTTTGTATAATCCTTCATCTGTTGATGGGTATTTGGGCCATTTTCACACTTTGGTTATTGTAGACAATGCTGCCGTGGACATTGATATACAAGTATCTGTTTGAGCTCCGACTCAAGTCTTTTAGGAGTATACCTGGGATTGCGATGGATGGATCCGATGTTGGTTCTACTCTGAACTATTTCATGATAAACAGTTGTCGGCAGTAGTTGTCCCATGTACGTTCTTATGGATAGAAGTTCCAATACCTCCACATCTTTACCAACATTTTTTTTTTCTTCTATTATAGTCATCATCAGAGGTGGTAGGTGGTATGATGGGGTAGGTATAACTATTTCTGATTGAAACTAGCAATTTCTCTGTATTTTTATATAAGAAGTTCCTATAACATTTTTCTCCTCTAGTGTATTCTCCTAGATAAGAAAATCAATGAGTGTCAGTGTCATTTTGTGAAAAGGCTAATTCTTCTTTTTCAGAAAATATAAATGTAGAAATTCTTGGCTTAACTTTTAAATATTGTGGAGATAATATAGCTCGAAAACATTTACACATTGAGTGCATGATCTCAAACTATTGGACACACTTGGATCCTGGTTCCTGATATCAGAAATATCTTTTCAGCTGGCAGGCTACGAGAGCCAGGTTGCCAGGCTGCGATCTGAGGTTGAGAAAGGCGAGGCGTTGCGGCAGAGTCTGGAGTATGACCTGGCTGTCTCCAGAAAGGAAGCTGGCTTTGGAAGACGGGCTGCGGAAGAGAAATTAGCAGAGGCACAAAGGATCCAAGAACAGCTCTGTGGTACGACTCTTTCTGTCTCTCCTCTTGTTGAGGTTTTAGACAACCGTCGTTATCTAGTGCTGCTGTAAGAGATGTGCTGCAGGTGGACCACTTTAACAAACGGATTTATTCCCTCACAGTTTAGGAGACCAGCAGTTCTCTAGAGGAAGGCTCTCTGTCTCTGTCATCTCACAGTTTAGAAAACTGGTTCTTGTCTCTTTTTGCCACGTCTGTGTATGGTGTTCCTTGGAGATCTCCATGTGTCTTGGCTTCAGTCTTCACCTGAGTCCAGCAGTTTCTCAGTAGGGAGACCTCAGATCCAAAGTGTCAGGGGAGAGAGCTCCTAACAAATTATCATGGGTCAGGTAGGCGCAATTGTACAGCAGTAATAAGTAAAGGTTATAGTAAAGTCATGGAGAACTAGAGAGAGAGAAGACAAATTGAAATAATGGAGCCAGACACATTTCACCTCAGCCCCGCTTGGTGGTCCACGTCAGGCGGTGGAAGGTGGGAATTGCAGGAGAGAGGAGAGCTTTATTGCTAACCAAGGCTTATATCTCTATAGTGGGCGTGATTACAGGTAACCACACACGTCACAGGAAGTGGCTGTACAATAGACAATACAAGCAATAGGAGGGGGATATACCATGGGCATAAGTGTAACAGGAAGGGGATGAGCTGGGGGTGTACTCCTGATAGGAAGGGGTGGAACTAGAGGTATACATGTGACAAGAAGGACGGACCCTAGATTCATGATGGCGGCCTAATCTTGGTCACCCTTGAGTGGGCTTGACCTCCCTGGGCTCTCCTTCAGGGAAACAATCTACTACTATCCTTATTAGAAGGGAGTGGGTCTTACTTAGGGTGGGACAGACTATACCGTCTGATTGCTCTAGATGGCTGATAACCCTTAGGGAGAATAACCCCTGACCTACTT